CCCCCCCCCCCATCCCTTATTTTCTAACATAGTAAGGATACAAAGAAAACCTGATTCTATTGCCACTTTATTTAAAACTTTTTATGCTTCAACTACAGTGGGATCAGTATAAGAAAATAATGAGCACCCCCTCTATTAAGCACCCTCCCTCAGAAGTGCCCCTCCTATCAGCCAAAATTTTAAATAAGCACCCAGGCTCTTATTCAAAGAAATACAGTATGTTTGGAGTACATTGACATTTGTGCAAGGGCTACCAGCATGTAGCCAGCACATCACAAGTGGGATAATCTCTCTGCTACCCAAGCTGTCTATGAAATCTGTGCTTATGTCTAACTATCCTGACAATATCATTAGAATTTATAATTTCACAAACACAGACCTTTCCTCTACAGTGTCCTTTATTTCAGATAGGCAAGTCTTAATTTCTGTTTACAAAATCAATACAATACCAAGCATTTAAATTTAAGATGATTTAAAATCCAACTAAAAACCACACACTTGGATGCACCAGAGTGGAAATAGTGCAGCTGATGATGGTCACTACTTAAAATTAAAGATTCATTGTTTAAAACAAGTTTTTCTGTTCTTGTTGCTGTTAATTTGAGATGAACAAGCAAAATTGTGGGGACATTACTAGGAAAACCAATACTTTTAGACCACCAGGGCCCAGTTCTCAGAAGGGCAAATAACACTATTCAATGGATAAATATCTGTCCAGCAGGTATGTGCCTAAAGATTGTACTGGACAATCCACCAGAGAGAGATTTATCCAGTGGATAGCTTTATCCACTCTTCAAACTACATGGAGGCAGATGTCAGTGACATTGGGGTCGAGATATTCAAAGAGAGACTAAAATAATGAGAATCCAATGGAAGTCAGAAGGGGCATGATATCAAAATAACAGAAAGTTTAGAACATTTGGGGAAATAGAATTCACTAAGGTACCCTGGTGGTGGTTCAAAACAATGTCACACTTATCGGAGACGACCATGTGTGAAACAAGCCCGTGACTTATGTCCTTAAGGTGATTGTAGACACAAAAATGAGTACTTATTATTGTGTTCACTTTAAAAATAAATATTAGTTTGTGTTAGTTCAACTATTCACTGTTGATTACGACACACAGGAATTTCTAGTCAAAGATTGAGTCTGCAACCTCACAAGAATGATGTATTTTTACACAAACATGTTGACGCTCACAGGTAATAAAAATCTCATAATTCTACTCAGCCTGAGCTGTGTCTAGTCTGGTGGGCTGTATTCCTCATCATTATCCAATCTTTTGGCCTTTCTTGATGGATTTAGTTCTGTGGTTTCTGGCAGATCAGCACTATCCACATCACGTTTTTTACCAGATTGGGTGTTCTAAAGTCAAAACAAAAAATATTGTGAGTTAAATCTGAATGAACTGTAAGCATGAATTGTGCAAAGTGCTTAAAACGAGTGAACTTTGGTTCCAATAATTTGGGAACCTCTACAAAAATAAACTAAGTTTCAAATTAATCTTTCCTGACTTATCAAAAGCCTTATTTACACTGGTGTCTATATTTTCAAAACAACAATAATGATTACAGTCTTAGATTTCTCCACTGTCTGTTTCAGTCTTTGCAAAATATTTACTAGACGCAGGTTATCTGATTATTTCCAGTTTAATAAGTTTAAAGCTGTCCTGTTTTGACTATGATTGACCACATCAAACTTTCATCTGGCTTGAGATAACCTTTCATTAACTCAGATTTAATAAGCTTGAGTTCTAAATATTTCTTTTTCATCTTCGCTTAGCTCATTTAACACTTAAAGTAAATTTACTGAAAATAACAAATGTAATAAGATCAAAACCCAAATGTTTTGCTTTGAAATTTCAATTCCCAATTAAAGGATGTTCCTTGAGACAAGCCCAGGTATATGTAGCAGTGCATCATTTTGCTAAATTTGCCTCTAATATCCACTGATGTTAAAGTGTTCCAGCTTATTTTAAATATGACAGGTGGAATAAATTAACTAATAAAGCAATCTTTCACCAGTTGAATTTTCAAGAATTCCAAGCAATTTTAGAGGATAATAAGAAGTATTACAGGTGGTAAATTTTACCAGCTATTGCCTATAAAGGAGCACATTGATAATACCAACATCACTTGTTTTAAAAAACAAAGTTTTCTTACTTCAACTTCCCACTGCTGGTGTAGATATCTCAACAAAATATTTGCTTTATCTGTAACAATGACTAAAATAAGACAGAACAAAAACTATTCTCAAAATCATTCACCCACTAGCACAACGATCACTACTGATACTTATCTCACAATATATAAGCTTGTAATCATGGTCACGCCCTAATTATTAACAGTGCAGCACGAGTGCACCCCCCTTCCACTCTCCCTCCTACCCTCTGCAAGAAGTTCCTAGTATTTTTGTTGTTATTATTCATTGTGCTATTATTGCTGGTGATCTTATTTGTAATACTGATTATGATCACCATGATGGATAATAATGAGGTGGAGGGGGTGGAGGGGGTGGATGGGGTGAAGGGGGTGAAGGGGGTGAAGGGGGTGGAGGAGGTGGATGATGACAATATCACTAAAGCCCCAGTGCTTACAGTGGCTGGGTAAAATGGGAAAAAGGCACCCAAAAGTTTATGGTGTTATGTCTCAGTGAACACCAAGAAACAATGTTCCCTTCCCTTTTCAAGATCTAACATAATCGAAAAATATGAGCATTTTTTTAAAGAATTCTTTCATTACGAACAAAGGTGTTCCTCGTATTGTACCTTGTTCAGCTGCTCCATCTTCTTTAGTTGGCAAGTACACAACAGGCCTACGGTTCTAATGAAAAAAAAAACGTCCATGAAATTTTTGATAGATCACGTATTACAAGAAACTATATAATATTTAATCCAAAAAAAAAAAGTATTCCTAGCGAGTTAGAATATTAATAATGTACATACACAAGAGGCTACCATATTTCGATCGGCAGTATTCGGTTACCGAGTATCTTTCACCGTGATCATCATTGATGAGATGTTAAAATGAACCAAACAAGAAATTACAAATGTCAAGAATTCGAAACACGTTTCTTGCTTCCTTTATAAATTTTACGTGTATTTATTTTTTTACATTTGTTAACGTTGTCGTTGCCTACTTCAGACTTAGTTTGCGCACCACAGTCAAACTTTTCAAGTAAAATAAAAAATACAATCATTCCTCTTGAAGATTTGCTACTGAAGAAACAAAATTTAGAACAATCGTGAAGAAAGAGAAGTTAATTTCAAGCAATCAAAATTCAAGAATTAACGAGGTTTACACCTACCGTGGGCTTGGAACTAGAATCTGTGCAATATTTTGAAAAATTGCGCTGATTAAATGATGGTAGTTCCTTTAGGAGGTCGCCCTAAACACAAATGAACAGATTTCCTCAGATAAAGGCTAATAGTAAAAGCACAACTGTGAGAATATTTAGTTACACACCATGCTATCTTCGCGAAATTTCCAACATGTATTTACAAAAGTATCTGCGCAATTTTATTTATAGATCTGTTGTTACGCGCATCCCTTTTGAAAGTCATTCGTGTTGCCGAGTCGCGGGCGCCATTTTTTGGTATCCAGGCAACGCTTAAGGAAGCAAAATGGCGGACGTTAGTTCACCAAATCCAAGTAGTGAACCCGAAAAACCTACCATAGAATCGTCTGATTCGTCTGCTGCAGAGTTGCAAAAGAGAATTTCAGATTCTTTTGATATATTTGATCACGAATCTAACAAAACTGTCGACGTTAGGTAAGAAAGTCACAATAATATTTCATATCTAACTGGCACCTTCATTTGATAAGTTTTTATGTTTCTCAATATCTAACTGTGATCTTGTACATTTTAAGAGAGGTTGGGACGATTGTAAGATCGCTGAAGTGTTGTCCTACTGAGGGAGAGCTTCATGACATTTTAGCCGAGGTATGTGAAACACTGATTTTCTTTATCAGGGGTAAGTTTCAAATGAGAGTGATTAGAAATATGCCTAATTTGCCTTTTTCAATGATGTTGAGGTTCTATGCTTATTTGTTATAGGTAGAGGAGGAAGAACCAACAGGATACATAAGATTTGAAAAATTTGAACCTGTTATGTTAAAAACTCTTCTGGAGAGAAGGTAACTTAAGGAATGTTCTAAAATTGATGGAGTGTCATGTCTATTTTAACTCTTGAAATTAACCTGTTCCTTTTCCCACCAGGGAAAAAAGAAGATGCTCCTTTTTGGCTTAGTCCACACCCAAGTTAATTCTCAATTTAATTTTTGATAGATACAAACCAGCACCTGAGGACCAAATTATGAAAGCATTTGAAGTTTTAGATCAAGAAAACAAAGGCTACCTTACTACAGAAGAACTTACAAAATACATGACTGAAGAAGGTACATGGAGCTTTAAAATGGAGTTAGTAGTTGGAACATCATGTTTTCACCTTCCTGTTTTGTTTCCCAAGGATATCTCACATGTTTGTTATGTTTATGCCTGTTATCTCACAGATAACAAGAGTGTAGATAGGATTCTCCCATTGGGGGTGGGTAAGGGGGGGTTGAGCTGTACACTTGAGTCTTACTGTCATTGGGAAATCATTAGGTTGTACATAACCTCGTTTGTGCCTTTTTGGTATTATGGGTACACGTGGTCAGATGCATCTTTTGACCCCCTCCCCCCCCCCAACCACACTCTGCATAGCTCAATTGACAGTAACACCCAACTAGTAACTGGAGAGGAAGGATTCAAATCTTGTCAATCAAAGCCTGTGTTTTTTCAAATGTCTTAATGTAGTCCTGTGAGGATCATTTCTGTACTTGTACATTAAAGAGGTGTTCAATTGATGACCTGTATCATCTTTTATGTTCACAACAGGTGAACCTTTCACACAAGAGGAAATGGAGGAAATGCTTTCTGCTGCTGTTGACCCAGACAAAGGGATTATATTTTATAAGGATTTTGTTTCAATGATGGTAGTAGATGACTTGTAACAGGACAGAATTGCAGAAATTTCATTTAACCGTGCAGGGTTGTCTATTTTCATGCCAGTTTTGTATAGATAGCTTAGATTTAATTTATTGTGTGATACCAAAATGCCATAGCTTCTCAAAGACACTTCAGTTTTTTAAGTTTGACTGATACCAAAAGATTTTTGTCTTTGTCTTGAATAAAAGGAAAATATGTACCTATACTACAAGATACATTTAAATCTAATGATGGCACTGTAGTTATGTATAAATATTTTGAATTTGTATTAAAAGGAACACTTTCATTTAAATCTTCAACTATTTTTCATTTGAACCTTGGCTGGCTAGGGTGGGGAATTTTAACCAGAAGTGAACTCTTGTTCATTGAGTAGAAAGTCACAGTTGCTGATTTTTCCATAAATTGACCATCAAATCTGGCACTGGGATAGGGCATTTGAATGCAATTTTGGCCCAGTGTAAAAGGAATATGAACAAACCAATCTTTAAAAGTTAAAATGCTGAGGAAGTTGCCCAATTAGCTGGATGGGTCCTTGATTGATGGTGGGTTTATTAATTAAAATATTTTTCTAAGCCCCCCTAAAAATGTTGAGGGGAGAGATACAAAATCATGGCGACGAACGACAATTATTGCTGCCAAAGAAGATTTCACCTCATTCTTACCTGCAGTCAGTCACACAATTTGTTGTTGTTTTTTTTAATGAGCGTTGCGTGACAATCGTGACTGTTTTGTTGTTTGGCGCGCGAACATGGCCTCCGCGGAGGGAGAAAGCGAATGCACGGAATTACTCACAGAAGCTTTGATTAATGCACAAATTCATAACAGCTACACCATGGATGAATTTAAAGAACTATTTCCCAGAAAGTACCGGTACGTTTTTTCGAGAACCTTGGTTGATTCGCATAGCTTTAAGAAGAGACAATTAAGATCTCCTCGTTATTTCGTGTCAGGGACCATAAAGATGTGAAGGTTTTGTACGAAGCCTATCAAAGAAAGCGAAAACAAACAAGAGACAGAGTCCGGAAGAATATAAGATCGTTTTGTAGGCAACGTGATCAACAGGTGAAGTTCTCAGTTACTATCCATAAAGTTTTTAACCGTTCAGTACTTAGTAGGCTAGCACAAATCTTGATCTTGACAGTTCTCAAGCTCTCTCCTAACCTTTGCGATAATGTAATAAAACAATTTCTTTAAGTATCCCACTAAAATTTTTTTACGTTCTTCTATTTGTCAGGACGATGCATATGATAGTAAACATGAGGATGAAGCGTGGGAATTAGAACAAAGAGAGGTGGTCCTGCAAGAGGTTTGTGAATTACACAAAATTGATTTTATCTTTCAAAGTCTTAGTGATGTCAGCGCACATGTCAGCGGACTTGTTATTGTTAGGCCGCCATGTTGATGTTGTTCAGTATGTAAGCACGAGGTCCTTTTGAATAAAGCCTCAATTGTGCAAGGATCGAACTTCTATTTCATTACATGTATATTCTCCATACTGTTCTCTATACATTTACTGAGGTACTCACAAGGAGAATTTGTTTATTAATCAAGAGCTAATTAACCCTTTAACTCCCATGAGTGACCAAGACAGAATTTCTCCTCACCAAATCAATACAATATCAAACAGAAAAGTGATGAGAATAAAGAAAAATATCGCTTAGGGGATTATTAGTTGACTCAATACCAAATTCTCAGATTTAGCACCATAAAAATTGTATAGAAGACAGTAAAGAGAATTATTGACAAGATCTTGGGAGTGAAAGGGTTAAAAAGTAAGTGACCATTTACCTCAATGCTTGATTCAGGGGTGATTTTTTTATGAAGAAATTAGGTGCTAGTCACTCTTTGGAGTCAAAAGGTTAATCATGGAACTGAATTTTGTTTATTTTCACATCATTTCAGGAAATAAATTCAATGCAACAATATATTGATGAACTTCAAGACAAACTTGGGAGGTGAAAATCCTTATTACACTGTTCCTTTTTTTTTTAACTTCCTCATTGTCTAAATTTTCCGCAGACCTTTAACATAACTGGTTCAATTTTTTTTTTTCAGTTGTGCAGATGCCTTGGAAAAGAGAAAGTTCTTTTCTGGCTTGCATGCAACAGATTTTGATGTCAACAAATTTAAGGAGAAAAATTGGTGAAACATGGACAGATAAAGCTAAAAGGATTTTGAAAATCATTCACTATAATTTCTCTTTGAATTTCATCTTTTTGTAAATAATGCTAGCCGATACAAACTGGTACATAATGTTAATGGAAACTTTGTTTTCTTTGTGCTTGGCCTTTTTTACCCTTAGATCAGTGTGCATATTCTCCATACTGTTCTCTATACATTTCCTTAGGAGCTTACAAGGAGATTTTGTTTCACAATTAAGTGTTTCTCCAATTGATGATCATTTCCTTCATTCCTTTGACCATAATGTGTGATTCAGAAGTGATATTGTAAAGAGAAATTAGAGACTATAGCCACTCTTAGGGGCTAAGGGACAACAAAGACAAATACCACTGGTTTGTAAAAAAAAAAATTCTTAAACACATCACTTTAGTGAATATTCCTTGTAAACAACAAATAAAATAAAGAAATATTTTTTAATCTACCTCTAAGCTGCTCTCCTATTTACAATGTATAATTGTTTCACCTGAAGATTTGATATACATCACTTTTTTTTTACTATCTTTTAAAACTGCTTCTTTCTATATATGAAGTTGATATATTGAGTTCAAAATATGAACTCACATGTTCATCAAAATCTCTAAGATTCAACAAAAGAGAACTGTTATCGTAATTTTTTGGTAAATAAATGATATTGTCCTGGTTGAGCAGGACGCCCTGGAATCATTTTGGCAGAACAAGAAAGAATGAGAGCAAATTTGTCCACCATTAGTTATCAAATAAACAAGCAATTCAGACGCTCAAGTCATGAGTCAATAAAAGATCTAATTCTGATCTCCAAAGGGACTCAAACATGTAACTGGTGCTAAACTGGTTAGTGCAAAATCAGGGTACTCATTCCATTTTGGGACTCAGAATTGACTCTCAATTGTTAAGACTGAATTTTGGATATTTTTGGTCTACATAATATCCAAATAAATTTGTTTCCTTAAATACTAAATATATAAACTCTGAAAGAATCTTTTTTCTAAATAAACATAAGATGAACCAAGTTAATCAAAGGCCATGAAATTGTTGTTGAGGATTGCTCTGAATCCTTTGTTCCCCAAGAGCTGGTAATTGTTGAATTCCACTTCTTTTTCGTCCTTGTACACCACTAAGATTTGGGAAAGACTGTAAGAAAAACAAAAAACAGAAAAACTCTATTGTTTTAAAACAAACAAAAAATATCCCCAATATAAGAGTCCCATCTGATGAGAAGAGAAATCATGGTTTGCATGTGTCTGAAGGCTTGATAACCAAATGCTGTTTGGAAAATTAACTTGTACTCCAGACTTACTTGGGTGGTGGAAATCAAGCCTGGCATGAACGTTGCTTTCAAGTTCTCTCCTTTGATTCTCAAAGCAAGCTTACTTACAGAAACCTCAAGGTGTCTGAGGTATCTTATTTATATCTGAATACAATAAACTTTTCCTGAAGCCTCAGGCCTTCAGTGATGGAATAAGAAATGGGAAACACAGAATCAAGGCAGCTGTAGTGTAGTGGGAAAGGCCAATGTAAAGGAAGGAATTTTTTATTAAAAGAGGATGTCAACCCTCAAGACATTTGAAATTACCTCCCTTGACCCTTTATTTCCCAGAAGTGATAAACATGCAACTTCTCCCTGTAATATCTGTAAATTATCCATTAAACAGGTAATGAGAATTCTGGATCAATATCAGTATCTGGGCAACTGCCCACCTACCCCTCCCCTAACCCAACATTAACCCTAACTTGTTATCAATTGACTGTCGTTGAGTTAGGGAAGGGGTAGGTGGGCAGTTGCCCAGATACTGATATTGATCCAGAATTCTCAACCTCATCTTTGGTAAAATTTGCCATCTTGATCCAACACCAAATTCTTGTAACTCATTAACAAGGAAATGTCTAGCAGCTAGTAAGGAGAATTAACAATGGGAGTTGAAGTTGAAGGGTTTATTCTAGACAACTTATAGCCGTCAGTTGAGTCTTAAAAGTGAGGTCACCTCTATCCAACAGTCACCCCTCTAATATGGACACTTAGCTTTGTCCTTTCTGTCTAATGTCTATGTCAGAAATAGGTCACTAACCAAAAAAATCAATGTAACTCAATTACTTATCATTGGTTGCCATATCAACTCTACTGTTACTACTTACATTGTCGTGAACAAGATTAGAGGATGTTTTCCTTCCTTTTGCATCAACAATGACAGGTTTATGATCAGTAAACATTCGATTGAAGCTCATTTCCCTGTTGCTCAGCTCCAGACGATAACGCTGCACTTCTCGTCTGAGACGTTCAAGCTCATCATCTCTCTAAAGTGGATACAGACCAAGCCTAAGTACAAATTTGATAACAATTAAAATATTCCCCCCCCTCCCCCCTTCTCCTCAACACTTGAGTCAGATAAGTAATAGATAGCCTAAATCAGTCCATACTCCAAATTAATGAGATAAATTTTTCGCATTTGATTTTAAAATTTCCTTCCCTCTTTGGTTTCAGATACATGTAATTAATTCTCAAATTCCAAGGCTTTGGGCTTAAGCTAAGAACAAAAGAAATGAATTCATCAAAACATGTGAGCACAAAAAGAAATATTTTGGAAGGGAAAGTAGTAATTAGGAAGACCAAACATATTTTTTTATCCATTGTTTTAGTGTGAACAAAGACTGAAAATCTTGGAAATCTAGCTAAAATTTTCTAAAGTGGTGTTGTAATAACACTGTAATAACACTGCAATATCAACCCTTTCACTCTCGAAATCTCATCAGTAATTCTCCTTACTGTCTGCCCTACAATTCTTGTGGCATTGGTTTAGAATCTGATTTTGGATCAATTCATGATCTCATTTATATTTTTCTTTTTTCTCATCACTTGTCTGCTTGATATTGTAATGATATTGTAATGAGAAATTCTGTTTTGGTCACTCATGGAAATCAAAGGGTTTAACAAAGTTCTAAACTTAACATACATCAATTGGCGATGGTCGGGGTACTTCAGGACTTCCTTTAGTCACTGATCTTGGGGATCTTTTTGCTTCCTTTCTTTTGTTCCTCTCGTCAACATATTGTTGAATTCTAAGTTCTAACTGATGTTTTTCATCTTCAAGCTCCTTTACTTGTTGATTCAACTGTTTATTTTTCCATTCAAGTTTTTCAGCCCTCATTTGGTCTTCTCGTTGCTGTTTTGTGTATTCTGCAATTTTCTGACCAAGTCTCTCAATTTCATCCTGCCAGTCTCCTTGCAAGCCATCAACACTTGCTTCAAGCCTCTGCTTTTTTTCCAATACATCTTTTAATTCATCCTCCAATGTTTTTACTTTTGATTGAAGATTATCAACTTGATTTTGGCTCTTCTTTATCTTGTCACTTTTAACCTTGAGTTTTTCTTTCAAGTTATTGTTCTCTTTCTTTACATTTTCCAGTTCAACTGACAAATGATCATACCCAGAGTTTACATTATCCATAAGGCTTTCTTTCAATTCTACAATTTGTTTTTCAGCAATCATTAAAAGTTGATCTTTATGCTCTAACTGAGTATTTAATTCTGCCTCCCTATTTTGAAGATCTTGGATCTGCTCTTTGTCTTTCTCAATCTCTGTATTTTTCAAGTCCAACAAAACACGGTATTTTTCTAGTTCATCAAGTTGTCCCTCCAACCACGAAATTTTTCCTTTTGCTTCTTCAAGAATACCTCTTATCTCATGTTCATATGCAGTTTTCAATGATTCTACTTCAATCTCGCGCTCGTGGTTTCTCGTAAACAGCAAGTGAATGACCATAGTGAGTTCAGCTATCTTCCGTGATAGTTTTCCCTTCAAGTCGAGTTCACGTTCTTTATCTCTGTGGTGAGCCATTTTGGATTATTTGTAGACAGCCACACAGATGAGAACTGGTTTCTCGAAACAGATGATATTTGTACGATATGACATCCAATTATTTCAATCGTGCAAATTAAGCTTAGGCCGAAAACATCGAATTCATCACCTGAGTTCAAATTGGCGAAGGTTATGTTTGATGAAGAAGAAATCCATACCTTTTTTTCCACGTCGAAGGCGAACTGTAACGTGAAATGCAACTCATACTGCGATCACAGCGACAGCCGTTTGATTAACTGCCCTTTAGCTCTCCGTTTTAAATTGGGCAAACTCGACCATGTTTAGTACGTCAACAGATTCAACTTTCTAACGTCGCTCCAAAAATCTTTCTGCCAATTTTATTGCGCGTGCTGTTGATCTCTTGTCAGTGATGTGTTGAAAAAGATCGACTGGACTGTTTGAATTTTCACAGCTTGTGTCCTTTGAAAAACAGACCAAAGTGTTGATTAATAAATTCAAGAGAGAGCAATGGACCAACACATATGTTGCTAAGACGTAGTGGGAGGAACGTTTTGAGCTTCATTTGCATGACAATTGCCCAAAGTTGGAATGCTACATAGGTGCAAATTAGGTCCAGTTACCTATTCGTTCACATAAATCCGCTGTCCCGGCAACAAAAGTTAGCTGCCCGCTCTGTTTACACAAGAGTTGATGAGTTTTCAAAGCAGAAATAATGACTCTGAGTGTCCGCCATGTTGGACGCTCGGCGTCGTAAGCCTGGCCCTAGTTGTTTTGGTAAACAGATGAAGGGGAGGGGACAAGATGAAAAGGAACCAAGACATGGAAAGGTTGTTGTCTCAAAATGAAAGAGAAAAGGTATAACGGTACGACATGTTATGTAACGACTCCGTATAAATATCAAAACTTTAACAGAACCAGAAGAAACTATGAAAAATTACGTGAAAGCTGAAAAACGAGTCAAAAAATATTGTAAAGTGGTACCTGAGTACTTGTGAAAGTATTTAATTGAATTCACTCCTTTCTGTTACTTTGTGATTTGAAAAAATAATCGGAAGAAATCAGGGGTAAGGGGGACGTTTCGCCTAACCGCGCGGAGATTGGGAATAGTAATAGAGGTCTCATACAGTTACTTACACAACGTAGAAACCAAAAATTTTTGAAAAATGGCGGAATTTTGTGAATTCATCGCTGTGTCGTTTTCAAGGTATTGGAGCCACAGATAGCGAGTGAATATCTTACTGGTAATTTAATCTGGTGTAAATGGGGCTGAGTGACGGAAT